GGATCGAAGTGTCCCGCTCTCAAAACGCCCTCCCTTTCCCTCCCTCAGGGTGGCCCCTGGGCTCACGGCATGTCCTTTCCCTGCAGGGTGTCCGTGCCGCTGCTCAAGATGCTGGACCAAGATGCTGGCCAACGGCTGCTTCGACATCTTCACGGCAGAGGAGGAGTGAGTATTCATTTCTTCCCGCGTCGGCTGCTTCACCGCTGAAAGCCTCGTGATTCATCTTTTAAAGAAATAGCGATCAGGCCAGAGAGCAGAATTTTAGGGATAATTTCCTAGTGTGTTCAGGTCGGTTTCTACATGCCCTGTAAATGCCCCCCGTGAGGCTGGCTGGGCAGCTGCGGGGGGAGCAGTGATGGGCCTGTGGCTGTCGCAGTGGACGGAACGGAGGCCAGCTGGGTGGAGGCGCCAGGTGTGGCATCTGTGGCCTCTGCTGGTTCCTCTCAGGTTTGTTTGGGACTTTTTCCTCTTTGCTGTTCTCTCATGGTCACCCTGTCCGTCTAATTTTCAGTATTGCTCTCTCTTCCTGGACAATTCCAAGGACTTGGAACTAGATAGGTCCATTTGCATTTTTAGTTGTTGTTTTGTTTTAGTATTTGTTACCCACAGTTTTACTACTTTTTTGTCCCTCATTGCTCCCAAATCCCTATCTGGGGTCTTGTTCTTTCTGCCTAATGAACATTCTTCAGAATTTCTCCTAGTGAGGTCTGCTGGTAAATGCTTTCTCATTTTCATTTGCAGTGTTTTTCACAGAACTCTAGGCAGCTGTTTTATTTCAGGACTTAAAAAATGTCTCCTTGCCTGGTTGGTGTGGCTCAGTGGTTGGAGTGTCAGCCTTGACATCGAAAGGTCACAGGTTCATTTCCTGGTCCAGGGCACATACTACCTGGGTTGAAGTTCAATCCCCGGCCCTGGTCGGGGTGGTCAGGGTGTGTGCAGGAGGCAACCAACCAATTGGTCTCTCTCTCTCTCTCTCTCCCCCCCCCCCTTTTCTTCCTCCCACTCTTTCTCTCAAAAAAAAGTCAGTGGGAAAAAATACACTCAGGTGGGGATTAGCGTGTACACACACACACACACACACACACACACACACACGTGTTTCCTTTATTCCGACGCCTCCTGTAACTCTCGGCGTCACCTCTCTGTCTCCAGGGGTGGGGAGCCTTTTTCCTCCGAGGGCCACGTGGATATCTGTACCATCATGGTGGGCCGCACAGAATTACCCACGTAAACATGACCTCTGTATTTGGGCAAACACTTAACTTGCCCCTAATGCCTTGGCAGGGCCAGACCGAAGGATTTCTTGGGCTGACCCGGCCCGCGGGCTGGACGTTCCCCGCCCGGTCCAGACGCCTGGGCCTTCGGAAGCAGGCTGGGTGTTTCCTGCCCCTCGTAAGATTTCCTTCTTGGCTTCCCTGTAGTTACTCTTCTCATGTGCCTGGCTGTCAGGTTTTCTGCATGTGTCTTAATAGGGATTTGTTAAACTCAGCTCTGTGGTTCCATTGGTTTTCATTTGTTCTAGGAAGTTTTTAGCTGTCCATCTCTTGGGGTTTTGTCCTCGGGGCACTAGCCCCCCCCACACACCCCCAATTCTCGGGGATCCCACCGTGCCTGCTGCACCCCTGCACCGGCAGCCGTTCCTGCCTTTGCGCCATCGCTCGGGTCTGTCTACACCTGCCGGTGTCTGAGACGGGTCATCCCGGCCTCGTGTATTTGTGCGGGACCTGTTTTGGGGTTTTGTAGTTTCCAGGTGTCTCCTCGCATCTGGTTTGTTTCCAGATCGGAGGGGTCCCTTACGCTTCCCTGCAGTTCCTGCCGGGCCTGCCCTCTCCCGCCCGCTGTCTTCTGTGTGGCTCTGGGCTGCAGTCCTCATGGGGTTCCCACGCAGTTTCGTTTCCCCATGGGTCTCATTACTTGTGGTCTGGATGCTGCGTCTGAAATGTCGTGTGAAAGGAGCCTGAGGCCTGAGAAGACGACGCTGCAGGCGGGACTCCGCTCCCCTTGCAGGCGTGAGAGGGCAGCAGCCAGTGGGAAGGGTCTCTGGACTGTGAGGTCCCCAGCGGCTGGGCCGCCGCACCCGCTGGGCCAGGCTTTTGCTGCTGCCTGATGGGCACTGGTCGCGCGTCACCAGAGCCAGTGAAGGTGACCTGGTCATCACACCCCTGCCTGTGCTGTCCTTGCAGCCACCCCTTTTGTGTGAAGCTGCTGGAGCTTTGTAAGGCGGAAACCAGCAAGTCCAAGGACGTCCAGAAACTGCGGTCCAGCATCACCGTGTGAGTCCACGCAGGCTGACGCAGACGGGCTCGGGGAGGGGGTTGGGAAGCCCTGAGGCCGTGTAGAGTCCTGAGAACCAGAGGGAAGCTGTAGCCGTGTCCCCAGCCCTGACCGCGCGTGACCTTGGCCTGAGGGGAGGCGGAGCGTCCCGACCCTGGAGATCTAGACAGATGGGGACAGTGGTCTGGATGCCTCGATCTGCAGTGATTGTGGTGACTAAACGGGAGCGCCACCCCGAGGCCTGGGGTCAGCACGGCTCTGGCATCTGTGCCACCGCGGGCGGCTGGCTGGGCCGAGGCCGCTCACTGTGCGCTGCCGGCAGGTTCTGTGGGATGGCGCAGTTCCCCGGCGGCGTGCGGAGGAAGGTCCTGCTGCAGCTGCGACCAGCAGCCCACCCTCGGGGTTTCCCAGGGACGTGCGGCTGCGTGTTCTGCTCGCGGGTGCCGGTGTCGCGGGTGCCAGCGTCGTTGCGTGTTCTGCTCGCGGGTGCCGGTGTCGCGGGTGCCGGTGTCGCTGGTGCCGGTGTCGTGGGTGCTGGTGTCGCTGGTGCCGGTGTCGTGGGTGCTGGCGAGCGGCCACAGAGCGGGCCCTGGTCCAGGTGGGACGCTGCCTCACTCGCCTCCTGAGACAGCAGGGGGCGTGTGGTGGGGTGTCCTCCGCTGTGTGGACCCTCAAGTCTCAGGAGCAGCAGCTGCCGTGTGACTTTCACGGTCTTTCTGGGGGGCGGGTCCTGCCCTGGAGGGGCAGCAGGTGATGCACAGTGAGGCCCTACCCCCCACACCTACCCCGACTGTACCCCCAGGAGGCCCTGGGCGGGGGGTCCTGGAGCTCCACACAGCGAGTGATGCCTTCACCCAGAACTGCCCACTGCAGGGTCAGGCTTCCTAGAAATCCCTGCCTTTGGCTGAAAGGATGCTCTTCAGGGAACCCACACGTCACCTTTACCTAAGGGTGAACGGAGCCCGCACCTCCAGCAGCACCCGTCAAAAAGGCAGGTCTCGGGCCACCGACCTGCTGGCTTACACCCTGGGGTGGCCCGGGATTGGAGCCCCGGCTCTGAAATGTCCCCACGGGGGTCCTAGGGCAGCAACAGGTGAGACGTGTCCCTGTGAGGGCAGGTCTTTCAGGAGGCACGTCGCCTAGAACGCGGCCGGCCTGTCAGGCTCCGGAGGGACCGCAGGGGCCAGGGGCCTCGTGCTGTCGTGGGGACGCGTGCGGTCACGGCCAGGTCTCCCCAGTTAGGACCGAGGTCAGCACGTCCTTCAGGCTTCAGTCAGACTCCGGGGTCCCCCTCTCACTAATGCTCTGTCCAACCAGATCCGCAAGACGACAGCGAGCCAGGTGTACGAGATGCTGCTCACCTACAGCGGCGTGGTGGGCGCGGACGTCCTGGACGAGGTCATGGCTGTGCTCAGCGACACCGCCTGGTGCGTGCGCGGCTCCTCCCCTTCTCAGGACGCGGGTCGTGCCAACCTCCCTTCCTGACCCCCCGTCTCTCCCCAAAGCCCCCGAAGGGAAAGGGAACGGGAAAAGCGAGGCTCCCAGCCCTCGACGGCCTTGGCTCTGGGTTTGAGGCGGCCGTGGTGGCGGCGGTAACAGGCTTCTCCCCGCTCGTCCAGCTCAGGCTCTCCCCTCGCACCCAGAGGGCTGTGCCTGCCACACGCGGAGCAGCAGGGCGCCTCCTGGCTGCTCAGGGGCGACATTTTCAAAGTGAAATTATTTTTCTCACGTGCAAATTTTTAAAAAGTCCTTATTGTTGAAAGTATTACTACATATGTCCCCTTTCCTCCCACTGACCGCCTCTAGCACCTCCCCCCACACTCCCCTCCCCACCAAGTGCCATGTTTTTTTAAGTGAAATGGGCAAATGTTTTTGCTTCTCGTTGGGCGCGATGGGCACTGGTGCACCCCAGCCTGCTGCACGGGGCCTGGGCTCCTGCCCAAGCTGCAGTGTCAGACGCAGTGGGGTACAGTGTGGGAGGCTCGTCCGATGCGAGGATGTGCTGTGTCCGTGTGGCGTGGCTGCAGCGGGGGCTGCTGTGCGCAGCCTTGCCTCTGTGTTGGGCAGAGGGGGAAGGTTCTTCCCTATAATTTAATCCCTTTCTGTTTAAAAAAAAAATTCCCCAGCCCGGCCAGCGTGGCTCAGAGGCTGAGCGTCGACCTATCTATAAACCAGGAGGTCAGGGTTCGATTCCCGGTCGGGGGCACATGTCCGAGTTGCGGGCTCGATCCCCAGTGGTGAGTGTGCAGGAGGCAGCCGATCAATGATTCTCTCTCATCGTTGATGTTTCTATCATGTCTCCCTCTCCCTTCCCTTTTCTCTAAAAATCAATAAAAGCATATTTTAAAAAATAAAAACTAAGGTTTGTGGCAGGTTTGACTAAAGCGAGTGGGCCTTTCTCGCAGCTGAAGCCAACCTGTCCTCTCCCCACAGGGACTTGGAGCTCCTGCTCGTAAGAGGCCATCGGAACCGCCTGTGTGACCTCCTCGGGGTGCCCAGACCTCAGCTGGTCCCCAAGGTAACTGCACGTCCCCCTCGGGCAGCGCCAGGGACACCCGGGGTCCTTTCCGGGCCAGGCCTCCCAACAGCTCCGACGAGCTACTGTCCTGAGCTCCAGCCTAGACACCTGGGTCCTCCTGGCTTTCAGGACCCTGGAGGGCAGCACCCACATGGCAGTCCCCCCGGGAGCCTGGTGCAGGGCAGGTGCGGATCTGTCAGCCCCCAGGGGACTCGGGCAGAGGTGGCAGGAGGAGCGTGGTGACACTCCTGCCTCCTTGTGTACAGGCCACGCAGGACCAGCTTCCCGAGTAAATGTGCTTTTTCGTTTTTATTAGGAAAATTTTGCACTCAGATGGGTGTGGTCAGGGAGCACAGGTGTCAGCTCCTGGGATGTCGGGGAAAAGGCTCAAACTCGGTTTCCTGAGGGAAGCAGGGCCCAGAGGGGCGGGCGATGGTGCTGGCCGTCCTGACTAACCCTGTCGTGTGCTCTGCAGCCTGCTGTCCGCTGAGGCCAGTCCTGGGAGCCGAGTAGCGCTTGTGCCGTCTGCTGGGAGGAGCCGCCAGATGCCGCTCAGGACAGGAAACCTGGTGCAGGACCCCGGCCCTGGCTGAAACGTGTGCGGAGGAGTCGTCACCACAGGCGCTCTTTATTACGGGCGTCTGCGCTCTAGTGACCCCATGTCGGTGCTTTTGTCTGTTTAAACTCGAGTCCACGTCTTATAAAATCACGTGCTGAGCAGTCTATGTCTGTCTGACGCTGTTGTGAGCGAGGGTGATGGGGGGACAGCCTAATGGGGGCATAAACTGGAGGCCGGCGAGAGTCCTAGGCTCCCTCCTGCTCTGCCTGCCCACCTGAGTCTAGGTGAGGGGTCTGGAGGGAATCCCTGGCTCTCACAACCTACCCTGCAGCCAGAAGCGGGCGAGAGCAAATGATCACACGTGTGCACCTGAGGGCTGGGAAGCAAGAGAAGCTGGGACCCTCTGCACGAGGGGGAATGACCAAGGCCTCCTCCCAGAAAGGCGCGGCCAGAGCATCCCTGCCTCAGGCTCCACCTGGTGCTGGGGTGGAGGGAGGAACGCTCCCCTGGCCCCACAGCTCGAACATGAGCCCCAGACAAAGGCAGACGAGCAAAACCTACTACCCCTCTGAGAGAAGGCTGGCTGGTCCCCACAGAGAATTTAAAATGTAAGCTCACATTCCAGAAATTTTTAGAATCAAACCCCAAAAGATACGAAATATAAAATGAGTTTATCAAGAAGAGCTTCAAGACAAAATGCTCCATGGATTAAACAACCTCGTGGACACCGCTGAGGAGAGAACGCGGACAGGAAGACCTGCAGACACTGTCGGGAAGAACAGCCGGGAAACGTGTAGGCAGAGTCAGGAGACCCTGAGAGGAGGGACCTGTGTCCCGGGGGCTGGGATGGGGACCGTGCAGGGGCCCACACTTGTTGGGAGGCAGCCGTCCTCGATGCAGAGGCCCAGCGGTCCACACAGGACGGGCTCCCCCGCTGGCTGCTGTGCACACGGCGGTGCCCCTGCTGCCCGAGTCCCAGCAGCCGGAGTCGGGAGGCTGGATCGGCTCGCCCTGGTGCTGAGGACACGACTCCACGTGGCAGGACTGAGCGCCTAGTGGAAGGGATTCAAGAACGAGAGCAGTCAAGCCATAGGTAGGACGGGCTCTCCAGCCTGTGGCTGGTTTTTCACTGTTGACATCGGGGCTGGATGGTTCTTTGTTGTGGGGACAGTCCTGTGCAAACCCCTTTCCAGGTGTGACAAGCTGTCTCCTTGTGGGTGGACGTCAGCAGCAGGAAAGGGTTGAGTGGAAGGTCTCAGACGTGAGGAGGAACGCGGGACCAGGAGACCCCACATTTAGGGAAAAGCTCTTTGGGATTTGTTCTCCTGGCCTGGGTGGGGCCACTGGGAGGGGTGGGGTCCTAGGACTGGGAGGCTGAACGCAGACGATGCCAGACCAGCCATCCAACCTCAGCTCCTGCCCAGTGCCTGCAGCAGCCCGTCCATCCCCGGAAGTGGGCAGTGAGTGCCAGCTCCCCTAATGTTTGCTCCATTTCCAACTGAGACCAGAGGAAACCAGATGTGCCCCCCTTCCCGCCACAGCCCCCGGCAGGCCCTGAGCCCCTTGCCCTCTGCTGCCTGATGCCCCACCACCGGGCGCTGAGCACAGCTGTTCTCGCCGGGCGGTCTGACTCCCACCCGTCTCCTGAGGTCAAGCGCAGTAGCTGCACCCCAGGGTGCTCACTTTGACGGATAAGCACACGTCCACCCAGACGGCGCCAGATGGCAGTGCCCACACGCAGGCACTCCACGTGGCGAATGTTCTCCGAAGAGGCCATGGTGTGTGGGCACGTGTCAGGTGCCCGGTGAGGGTGTGGATCCTACCCAATCGGAACACACCCCTCCTGCCCCCCCTGCCAGGTGAAGGTCTCCCACTCGGGGTCTGCCATTCCCACACGGCCACATGGCTGTCCTTCCCGACGGCCCCCGATCCCTTGTCACCTGCAGGACTCCATGGCTGCTGTGGCCTGTCAGCTGAAGTGAAGGAAGTCCCGGCCCTCCTGCAGGTGCAGCGACCTCAGGTTGTCCTCAAATGCACCCCCAGTAAGGTCCTGTGGGAGGAGCGGCAGGTGGAGTCCCCACAGAGCCTCCCTCCTGGGTTCAGGGCCCCCTGTGGCCACCTGTCAGGAGGTCCACTCTGAACTTGTGCTGCACTATTGGGAGTTGGGGGGCAGGACAGGAAACAAAGCGAGAGGCCACAATCACCTATAGGATGGGTCACATGGGAGGTTGGGGTCCTGAGAGACACCCCTCCCAGCCCCTCCCTAAGAAGGCAGCTGACCCCACTGCAGGGACTCGGGGACAGTCCCTTCTCACCCCTTCGTCCAGGGCAGAACCAGGAGCCCCCATCCACCTCTTCTGCAGGGGACACAAGTGGGAGGTGGCCCCTGGGGACAAACTGCCGCTCACCCAGCTGCTGACGGATCCCCCTGCCTCCCGCTCTGCCTGCCCCTGCAGCAGAGAGGGCCAGGACCCTGCAAGGAGGGCCAGGACCCAGGAGGCTGGCTCTATCCGGAACTTGCATGTGATCCTACACAGTCACAGGTTACCCCAGGGGCGGGCGGTACTTGGGGGGCAGGTTCCTAAATGCTTCAGCGTGGCCTGTTCAGGAATGCTGGCTTTGGCCAGGCCACGTAACCCCAGCCCTGGCCCTGATCCCTATCCCCAAGCCCTCTTGCCCCCGGGGTCTCCCAGGCCTGTCTCTCATCCCAGACCCTTGCTGCCTCCATAGCCTGGCTCCCAAAGACACAGCCGGCACACCCGTGGGTCCCTGGCCTCGGGCAGACGCGACAGGGACGGTGCTGCTTGGTTACCACGCTCGTTCCCCTTGGTGTCACGCGCGGGTCAGGCCCAGCGCGGGAATCGGCCTGGCTATGCCCACCTGGGCCGTCATGCTCCCCCTCCTCCTGCGACTACTGGGCGCTGCTACACGTATTAAATGACAACCACTCTGATTCTCTCATCATTGATGTTTCTCTCTCTCCCTCTCTGAAATCAATAAAAGTATATTTTAAAAATAAATGAAAACCACTCTACTTGGAAAACATCTGAAATGTCCAGATCCTGTCCTCCACTTGCTGTCCATGCTCAAACCCCCCCTCTTCCGATCCCGTGCTGCTCCTGGGATGTTACAGGAAAACTGGGCTCCGCCTGAGTGTGGCCCAGGGGTCGTGGGCAAGGCTGCCAGCCCTGGGCCTGCAGAGGGGCCAGCGGGAAGGCAGGCCTGCTCCGGACTGGAAGGGCCTCCTGAACAAGACTCTGGTGCAGTTGGATGCTTCCATCAGTTGACCTAGCCCGTTAACAGCACGAAAAGGCCAGCCCAGCCGGCGTGGCTCAGGGCTTGAGCGTCAACCTATGAACCAGGAGGTCAGGGTTCAATTCCCGGTCAGGGCACATGCTGAGGACGTGGGCTCGACCCCCAGTGTGGGGTGTGCAGGATGCAGCCGGTCAATGGTTCTCTCATCATTGATGTTTCTCTCTCCCTTCCTCTTTGAAATCAATAAAAAAAAAATTTTTTTTTAAATGAAAAGGCCAGACAAGCCAACAAAGGGTGATGACCCAGCAGGTATGGATGGCGTCGACGCTGTCAGGAGGCACACGGTCCCACAATAAAGGGAGAAGCTGCTTAGAAACCACAGGAGAGGGACTGCCCAGTCAGTACAGGAAGGGGCTCAGGCTCATGGTGTCCTGAGCAAGAACGTGCATCTTAAAACCAGTGAGAGCACCGCACCATCTGGGGAACTGGCTCTGGGTGTCCCCTGGCCTGGCCACTTTGTGGGCATCAGGCTGTCCTCCCAGCACAGCCTGGGAGCCAGCTCCTAAAGGCTGAGCCGCCTGGTGATCCAGGGTGTGTCCCAGCCCCACCTGCCCCGCAGCCCAGCACTCACCAGCTTCACGCAGATGACGAAGGGCGGGCGGGCGGCTCGGAAGTGCAGGATGGGCACCCGGGGCTTGGGCTTTTCCTGAGACAAGAGGGCGTGGGCGTCGCTCCTTCTGTCACCTGAGCCCTGTACCACTCCCAACTGCACAGCACAGGCTGGACCCGGGACCCAGCCACCCTGCCCAGCCACCTCACAGCCACCGCGGAACCCACCCAGGTAGGCGGTGGGAGACCTGGACCTGTGAGCAGGGCTCTCCAGTGAAAAGATGGGGTGGGCACAGGTTACACTGGGACCCCCCCAACCCCCTGCCCCAGGAGTCTGAGGGCTGTGTCTGTCCAGGTGGCCTGTCCAGGATGGCGTCTCAGAGGTGGACCAGGTGTAGTGTGGCGACCCGTGCAGGACCCAGCCCCCAGCTCAGGGGCGCCAGGGGCCTCCACACCTGAGAGTCCTCGTAGCAGTAAAAGCCCTTCTTGATCTTGTTCTCGTCTACGTCGCAGAAGGCAACCACCTGGGGAGGACATAGGACGCCAGCCTTGGACAGTGGTGGGGGGTGGGGGTAGAGGTGGGGACAGGGGTGGGGGAGGGCGCAGGGGAAGGGGGGCCGGGGGAGGGGGCGCCCACCTTGCGCCTCGCCCCTGCTGTGAGGCTGCGGTAGAGCCGGCGGCCCTGCTTGCCTGCGTTCCAGATGGTGAAGGTCGCCCAGTGTGGCAAAGCCCGCTCTTCCAGGAAGCGGACTCGGTGGGTCCAGATGGTGGCCCTGTGGAGGGAGGCTGTGACCCTTCCAGCCCCACCCAGCCTGCCAGGCCCCTCGGTTCACGTCCCCTCGGTACGTATGCCCTGGTCTTCGTCACCTGGGGCAGTGGCTTGGTGGGCATTACAGGGGGTTACAGAGTGCTGACTCCCTAATCCTGGCACTTAGCACCTCATTTCAGAAAGAAACACACAAGCTACACACACTCCAAGCCAATTACACACCACGCAGGCCTGGCCACACAACACGCAGCTTTGCCAGCATCCAAGAAAATGAAAGAAGCCCGGCTGGCGTGGTTCAGTGGTTGTCGACCTATGGATCTTCGACTCCCAGTCAGGGCACATGCCCAGTGACGGGCATGAAGGAGGTGGCTGATCAATGATTCTCTCTCACCACTGACGTTTCTATCGCTCCCTTCCTCTCTGAAATCAATAAAAATATATTTTTAAAAAAATTAAATGAAAGAAGTTTCTAAGGACAAAAGAACAGTGGACCGCATGCAAGTGAATTCTAGCGAATGTATGGTGTCCTGAGCAAGAAGTCCCTGTTAACACTTTTCCTCTTTCAAGTCAGGAATGCGGGTGGGACAGCTCAGTGTCGAAAGGCACCGAGTGGGGCCCTCGGTTCCTGCGTTGGGCAGAAACAGGAGGTGCCCTGGGGCCCTGCCAGTGGGGGGCACCCTGGCTCTTGTCTTCCCCACCACAGGGCGAGCAGGTGAGAAGGGGCTGCAGACACGGGGCCTCCCCACTTCTGGGACTTGAACTGCTTCTTTCTAACCAGCCCATCTTCTTCCATTTGAGGTACATACTGATGAGACGCCCACCAGAATGCCCACAGTTTTGTGGACATTGACAAGGATATGAAATGGCCCAGACCAGGTCTCTGAGCAGATCAGTACTGCCAACCAGACGGCTCAGAGCCTCGGGGGTTGGGGTGGCATGGGCCCGCACGGGACCGCACCAGCCCTGGGGCTGGCGGGAAGGCTGCCGAGGGAGGGACAGAGCCAAACGGCTCAGAGGAATGTGGGCATTAAACGACCTCCCGGTGTCTCTGGAATCATCTCAGGGTCTCTGTCTGAAAGTACCACACGGCTGAGCTGACAAGACTGAGAAACTGCCACGGACACATGTGCGTGGGCACTTCCTGCCCTGGCCCCGTTCCTCTTCCAGAGCCGTTTTCACACTCGTGCCCTTCCCGCCCCTGCCTGCTGGGACCAGTGTCCTCACCCGAGGGCAGGGCAGCGCAGGGGCCAGAGCACTGGTTTCCCCAAACCCACAGATGAGCACTTCCAGAACTTTCTGGGGAGGAGGGGCAGTGTCAAGGGTAGCCTGCACTGGGCACAGCAGGCCCAGAGTTGGAGCGGGAGGCAGAGACGCCCAAGGGACAAGAGCTCAACTCCAGTTAAGCAACATGCAATTTTCAGAAAGAATAAGCAGAAAGCTACCGTTTACATAACATTTCAAAGAGGTTAAGGGTATTGTATAGAGAAATTACACACAGTGAACGCGTGAGGAAGTGGCATGGTGGCCGCTGGGCAGGAGACAGCCTGGGGGAGCGCGAGGGGGCGGGGTGGGCCAGGCTTTATTAGACTTCCCTTCCTGCCTGTTGGTGTCTGAAGTATGTCAGTGACCGGTAAATGATGTAAGTGCTGACCATTCTTAATTTAATATACAAAGGACCAGAATTGGCGCCCACTCAAAAGAGGGCTTTTGGGGCGAGAGTCTGAAGGAATCCAGTTCTTGACAAACCTCAGGGCATAATTAAGCCCATTACGCTGGGAGGTTTCCCACTCACAGCGCAAAGACTTTAATCCATACAGAAACTAACATGAGATCACTTCTTTCGTGTTGTGGGTGGCAAAGCCTCGTGCTGCAAAATGGGGGGGAGGTCCCAGAATAAAAGACAAGTACGGCATGCAAACAGGACGAGGCCACAGCACTGCTGCCTGGTCCCTCCCCGATGCCCGGGCAGCAGCCACACCGGGAGCCGGAGAGCGCTGTGGTCACTGCCAGATGTTTTTAAATTTTAAAGGAAGTGTAACTTACACAGTGAAGTGCATGGATCTTAGGTGGTATCCTTTCTTTCTGAAATCTTTGGTAGAACGTATCTATCAGTAAACCCATTGAGCTTGGCTTTTCCTTATGGAAAGTTTCAAAATTACAAGCCTAATTTTTAATTTTTATTTATACTATAAATATCTCAGATCTATAGTGGTCTCCTTCATTCCAAATATATTGGTAACCTATATTTTCTTTTAAAAATCAACCTTGCTAGAGATATGTCAATTTTATTGATTTTATTTTGAACAGTTGGTTTTGCTGATTTTTTTGGTATTGACAGTCCCCCCCCCCCTTTTTTTTAAGTGTTTTTCTTTCTTTTTTTAAAAAATTGATTTTTAGGGAGAGGAAGGGAGAAACATCTATGTGAGAGAGAAACAGTGTGCCCTGACTGGGACTCGAACCACCACCCTTTGGTGTAGGGACAATGCACTAACCAAGCCACATGGGCCAGGGCTGTGCATGTCAATTTCACCTTCTTCCACTGTTCATTTCTATTTTTCTGTTGACTTTGAGTTTATTTTGCTATTACTTTAGTAACTTTTAAAGGTGGAGACTCAAATAATTGCTTAGTATCTTCTAAGTTTTAAAAGCCATAAAATTTTACTAAAAACTACTTTAGCTAAATTCTACAAACATTTTAATTTTCATCAAATTGAAAATTTTGTGATTTCCTTTGTGATTTTTTTCCCCTTGGTTGCTCAATTTCCAAGTATTTTGGCTTTTCAAAATGGCTTAATAATTTCTAATTTAATTCTGTGTGGACATGAAACAGATCCTGTATGATCTCGATTTGAAATTTATTCAGATTTGTTTATTGATCCAAAGTACTGCCTGTCTTGCACGTTAGCAGAACGTACACTCTGCAGTTGGGTAACGTGCTCCCTCCATAACTGGCAGGTTGGGTCAAGCTGGTTGACAGAGCTGCTCAAGTCTCCGGCATCCGCACAGACGCCCCATTTCTATCTGAGACTGAGGCAGAGTCTCAGAAACTCCAGCTCTCACTGTGGGTTTGTCTGCTTCTCCCTTGAATTCGGTGAGGTTCTGCTCTGAGTCAGGTTCATGACAACAAACCCAATGGCGCTTCCCTGAAGCTACCGTGTCAAATGCAGACACCACCAGGACGAGGACCAGGGCCTGTCCAGCTGTACGTTCTCGCGTTGAGCAGCACCTCCAGTCAATGCGGACGTCGCTGCTGGGACCCACACACGACACACAAAGTTGGCATCGCACCCACGTGACCATGACGCGGTGCCCGTGACCTCAGTGTAAGTGGACATCACACCTCCCAGGACAGAGGGTCCCACACCTTCCAGGGAAAGGAGGACAGTCGGCTCGGCTTCCGGAAACCCAAGTGCGGGTCCCCGCCTCGCGCTCTTGGTGTGCAGAGGGTCCCTGACGACTGACCTGTCTGGAGTCCCCAAAAGGGAGCAGCAGCATGATGGTGAGGAACCGAGGGACACACCCAGTCATGTGAGGCCCATGTAACACGCACACATATATGTGACACAGACGGAACACACGGTTCGACCTAAAGAAAGACACTCTTCCTTTTCCCAGCCCACCTGGGCCCGCACCCCTCCTGCCCGTCCCAGCAGCCGGCCTCCCTCGCACGCTGGCGCAGAGGCTCAGGCGGCCTTGGAGCTGGGGGACGTGGACTGTGCCTGACGGGGGAGAAGGGAGGCAGGGAGGGGGCTGGCTTCCCTGTGATGCCCAAGTAGGGGTGTGGCTCAACCACTGCCCACCGAAGCCTTCTCTCGGTCGGGGTGAAGGAAGAGGTGCCCAGCCCCCTGCAGCCACGTCAGAGTGTGCAGGGCCCACCTCGTACGCGTGAATTCCGTCTCAGTTCACCTCACACTGGACCCTGGGCCACAGCCAGCCCCCGGAGTCCACAGCACCCCACCCCGCCCTGGCTGGGGACTGCGTACTCAAGCACGGAGTGCGTGGCCGCGCCGGGGTGGTAGCGGTAGAGGAGCAGGCTCTGGTCCACCCGTCCGACGCCGCCGCCCTTCCTGAGGTGGTTGTAGAAGAGCAGCAGGTCCTCGGGCACGCCCTGCGGGGAGGAGGATGCTCACCACCCGCACCGCAGTCCAGTGCTTCCCCCAGGCATCTGGTCCTCAGGCCAGAAGCGGGGAGGCTGCCAGCCACCGGCCCACCTGGATCCCTGATGTCACAGCCTCTGACCACACGCCCAGCTGCCCCACCCAGCAGGCGGCATCACTGGGCAAGAGCGATCACACGAAGCTCTTTAAGACAAGAAGGAGCCAGAGGGGAGGAGCGTGGCAGCCTGGCCAGGGGGGCAGACACCCTGCCTCCCCATCACCGCCCGTCACACGCCTCCCAGCTGACCCTACAATCCCTGTTGCTGGTCCATTGAGACACGACCTCCCAGGGGCAGGCACTGGGCTCTGACAGGTTCTCCTGTCTTGTGAGACAGGTCCACTCCCCCGAGTCTGGACAAGATAAGGAAGGGGCACCCCTCCATCCGCTCGCCGGGCTCAGACCACGCCTGGCTCTGGTCAGCACCTCTGTGCTGACAGGGATGGGGTTGGCTCCCTTCGTCTCTAAGTCCCAACGTGGAAACAGGTCGTCCACCGGGATCAGAGCTCAGCAGCCTCTCGGGCTGGTGCCTGTAGGGCGTGTGGCAGCGCATGGGCTCCTCCCGCCCGCGTGGATTTGGGAGAAACGGCAACACAGACAGAGCCCGGTGCCCTAGAACCGTGACTGGTTCGCCTCCAGGACAGAGACGGGACCAGGTGACCCGCGTGCCATCAGGCGTGGTGGGGCCACCGGCAGGAGCAGCACAGCGGCCGATCCTGGGACCGGGGCCGGGCATGGCAGGGGGCTGGGCTACCTCCCAGGCAGCACTGCTGGGCAGCCCCTGGGGCTCTGGCTTTTAACCTGAGAACAGCCCTGACCCTGCAGAGCATGTTTGTGGCCGTGAGGGACTCCCCAGCTGGAAGGCGGGTCGGGGGTCAGGGGTGAGGCTCCTGTGGGCGACGGGCACTGGGGGGGGAGTGCTGGGGGGAGGCAGAGGGGTGCTGGGCGGGACCAGGGAGGGGCAGTCCACGTGGCCCCCATCAGTCAGTGAACTGTCGGCCCAGAGCCAGAAGGGCTGTGGCCAAGGTCCCAGGGCGGATGGTGGAGTCTGGCCTGAGTCCCCGTCCCTGCTTCTGGTCTGGGGTCTCCAGACCCCCAGGAACCCTGTTCCCAGAACTCCCGCCACCCCCTACACCCAGGCCCCCCGCAGTGCCGGGGGCAGGGCATCAAAGGTCAAAACAGGGAAGGCCTGAGGGGCCTCGGCACACCTGGTCCACCCCCTCCAACCTGGAGAGAGGAAGTCATGTCCTCAAAGCCCATTTCCCAGGAGGGGTTAAGGGGAAGCACACTGATTAACCCCGAGGTTTACTTTGTAATGGGGTGCAGGAGCCTTCACCCTAAGATGGGCTGGGGAGGAACAGTGCGCAGGCCAGCAGCAGAGGCTGGAACCCAGTGGGTGCAGCTCTGCCCAGCGTGGCTGCCTCCCACGGGGCTGCCCCCTCCCACTGTCACCCACCACCCACATCCACAACAGGATGAGGTCACCGGGGCCCGGGCCAGGGCAGGTGTGACGCCCGCAGCCGCACAGAAATCCCTTGCTTGTGGCAAAACAAACACGGTGCTGGGCCCCAGCTGCCCCCGGAGCTCAGCAGAGCAGCAGCGCTGGGGACCGCCTCAGAGGTGCTTCCCTGACCCCGATCCCTGGACTAGGTCGTGGCGCCTACAAGCATTAGGGTGGGGTGGGGGGATGGGGGGGTGGGGGTCCCCAGTCTGGGGAATGACAGCACCAACCCCAACCCCAGAGGAGGACTCCACAGGGGGACCCACACTTACCTGCCCGCCCTCGTCGAACGGGCCCACGTGAGAAAACCATGCTCGTGAGCAGAACCAGGTGGGCATGACCACAGTTGGGCCATTGGAGGTGAAGACCTAGAACAGTTAACACTGGAAGCTGTCACAGCGCCTGCACCTCACCCCCGAGTGTCTTTCGGGGGCGACGGGCTGCTCTGCGCGTCCTTCCTCTGCAGGTGCAGGCCCGTGGGACTTTGCTACGAGATCGAGTGTCCAGCCCCCGCGCAGGGCAGAGGCAGGAGCTGGGACATGGGTAGCGGGGCCCAGCCCACCCCAGGTTCTGTTCCCGGCAGATGCTCACAGTGTTTGTTAAGGAGCCTCCCCCTGCGTTTGATCGATGGCATCGCTTGTCTGAATATCACAGGGAACAGAACTAAATGGCATAAAAGGATCGAGATGATAACTAGGAGTTTAGACGAAATGGACAAATTCCTATCGAAGGGACTCAAGAGGAAACAGAAAACCTACGTAAATCTGTACAAACAAGAGCCTGAACAGATGTGCCTGCGCTGGGGTCCTGCCTGGGCTGCCGGCCGAGTCCTCCTCGCTCAGCACACATTTGCCAGAGAAAAGGAAGAGGACTGGGGGCCGAGCCCAGGTCCCCGCACACGCTCAGTGGCCCTTATTCCGGAGGTGTTCTGGGCTCTGTGCTTTCATCTCCAAAACCATCTCCGCAGCTTCCCGTTGTGGGAGGGAAGGGACGCGCGAGGGGAGAGGGAGGAGTTTCTCTGAAGGTGCAACACAGCGGATGAAAGCGACTGCAGGTCTCCCACATCCACGGCCTCCACAGTCTGCAGATCACACGTCATCGCCCAGAGCACAGCACCTGTCGCTTCTCAGGGCTGCTTCTTCCCAGACATTTCTGACCGCGTCTTTCTCTCTCAGTCTCATCGACCCCCACCCCCAACACTACCTGAACAAGCCAGAGCAGTTTCCAAAGCATTTCGTAATGTTTCCCTCCATCAGAAAAAGAACAAAGAGAGAGGGCTTCTGTCCCAGGACATTTCTCGACCTCCTGCCTCCCTCCAAGCTTCCAGGTGGGCATGCAGGGCCCAGGGCTGTCTCTCTGCTCCCCGCTCGACCTTTCCATGGACGGGCACCCGCGTCCAGGCCCAGTGCACACCCAGCACCATGTGACACAAGCTCGTCTCCACACCCGACATTATCTGAAGGGTGATGGGAACGAAGGAATAAAAATGGAACAAAAAAGCAAAGAAAGCACATTGGAGGTGATTTCTTTAAGTCCAGTCAGAGGACAAGTTGGCCTGACCTGGTGGTTTCTTTCAAGCTTTTCTGTGTTCTTGCCTTTCAGGTGGTTCATTGCTTGTCCAGCCTTCTGCCTCCCAGCAGGCGTTACGTCCAGCTCCCCCCTCGCATGCTCAGGTGCAGCCGAGCACCTGGAGGAGCCAGCTCTGCCGCAGCCGGGCCTGAGCAGCCTGAACGAGCAACAAATCCGGACCAAGAACCGCCCCACTTACTTCAGGAGTCCGCGGCCATAGCCCCCGACCAGACCTCTGACTCTTTGCTGTTGTTTTCCTCACCCAAAGGCATTTTTCCCATTGATTTTTAGAGAGTGGACACCAACAGCCCGGCTGTGCACCAATAAAACTTTATGTACAAAACAGGCAGCAGAACAACCTGCCAACCACGGTCTACCTGGTAAGGGGTGGGCCTTTGGCTTCAATTTAAATGAAAACTGTTTGACTGCTGAGCCTGGAACAGGCCAGCGCCCCCCTCTTGTCTCCCTCACTGCTGGGGTCTGTGAGTAAATGAGGTGCAGAAATAGCCCCCAGATCTCAGGATTCGTGGAACCCAAATGAAACAGGACCAAGAGGCATAAATGCTCTTATGCTGATTTTTTTCATTCTTTCATGTTTAGGTAAATAATGGGTAACTGAACCTGTTGCTCAGATGACTCAGGGAGACTCGAGCTCCACGCAGGCCCAGCAGAGGGCACCCTGGGCCGCGAGGAGGAGCGGGAGGAGTGGCCTGTTGGACATTCAGTGTCAAAACCAGGCCCCAGGCCAAACACAGACAGGCCAGCAGCTCCCTTTTCCTGGGTCAGCCCCCTGCGGCTTCCCCTGCGGTGGACAGAGCCGGGCAGTGGGCCTCACTTCGGGCTGCCCCCCACCTGTCATCAAAGCCACGCCCTTCCCTCCAGTGAGGCTGCTGGGACTTTCGAATCCTTTTCGATTTTCGCCTTCTCTTCACTCTCAAGCTGTCACTCCCTGTTTGTGTCACCAACTGAAAAATCAGATAATCCCGTTTCTTAGAACTTTGTCAACAAGGGCTCCCATGTGAGGCCTCTCGGGCCCAGGCGCTGTTCTGGGAACCCGGGAATTTGGGGCTCTCCCCTGGTTTTATGCCAACAGAAGGTGCACTTCGCAAAAGTGATTTGTATGTAGTTCTCAATCCTTGAAAGTCTATCCCAAGATGTTTCAGATGCAGAACAAACGGGAACAAACCCCCTATGCCACCGGCAAACCTGCCGTGGCCCTTGAGGAAGGCGCAGAAGGACGCGTGGACGCAGCAGACAAAGGGGACCCCTTTCAGGAAGAGAAAGGACGGACTACGGGCTGCACATGCGCTCGGTGTTTATTCACAAAGGAGAAGCCTGGAGTCAGAGAGTACGAGCAGTTAGAGAAATTCACAGGCCTCATTAACTGTGTCTCTGCAGGAAGTGATAGGATTCTTACAGAGAAAGAACAAAGTTTACATGACTCATTTCCAGATTTCTGTGGCTTATTATCCTTATTTCTAAATTCTAATTTGTTGGAAGACTATCTTCAGATAGATAACAAGTTTTCCAGGATTCTGACATTTAACACCCACATAGCAACAAGAATAAACTTTGATGTGAAATCCAAAACCTATGGCTTCTGGATTTAATAAAGGCACGGCCATTAACAGTCAGTTCCCCTTCTCAGTGGTGTTAGGGGAGGCTGGTGAGCACTCTACTGCACCAGGTGAAACGTCGCTCGTTCCTATTGGACCTGCACCACAGACACCGCTTTAAGACACTCCCGTCAACAGAGAAAGTGAAGAAAACGACACAGCTGCACCATGTCAGAGCACAGTCAGATTTTAAATGTCATAAATGCTGATTGGTTAGAGTTAGGTAAAAACCATTGAGCTTCAAGGACAAACTTTCTAGAAACAGACACATGGAGATCAAAGAAGAGTGAAATGTCCTGGTTTTACACAAACCAGCGGGTTCCAACCACTGTGCTCTGGACACTGCCGGACCGGGGGACCGACTGCGGGATGTCACCCATGCACGCTGCAAGGTGCCATAGAGCAGTCGGCCCGAGGCTCTGGGTGTTGGGCTTAAACCCTTGCATTTTACGGAAGTAAAACAGGGCCACAGAGATCACCCAGCTGATGGAAGGCCTGGGGCCTCCAGGGCGGCAACTGGCCCCCGGCACCCGCTCCAATCTGATTGGAAACGCCTGACGGGATCGAGACACCAGTGCCCTCTCAGCAGGCCCCCTGCTGACTGACCTGCAGTGTGGCCTCAGCCCTCAACCTCAGGGCCAGGACGTCGGAGAGGCCTTCCAGGGCCAGCCGGGGGCCCCTGGCTCCCATCATCACCGCTGCTGACCCCACAAGGTGAGCTGACCTCTCGCCTCCACCCTGCTGGCACCGTGCCCACTCAAGAGCATCCTCTCAAACTCTCCTTCTCTCCTGGGTCCTCCTCGGCAGCTGGTCACCATGGCCAGCACATCATCAGGCAGTCTGGGACCAGGTGACCGGTACTGATGAGGTGAAACACCGTGCCCAGAGCTCTAGGAGAGCCCCCAGGCGGAGCCTGAGCCCAGCCTGGTCCACGTGGGCTGGGAGCTTTCATGGCGGAGCTGCCCTGCCATCTGCAAGGACGAGCCGCCAGGTCGAGGAGCACGAGGAGGGTGTCCGTGCTGTGCCTGGAGCCCACGTGACAGCCCTAACCACCAAGGGGACTATACATAGGAGATGACTGTAAGGTAGGGCCCTAACCCAAGGTGTTCTCACAAGAAGAGGAAAGATGCTGGGACTGAGCACAGAGGGGATGGTGTAGACCAGTGATGGCGAACCTATGACACGCGTGTCAGAGGTGACACTCGAACTCAGGTTTTTGTTGATTTTTCTTTGTTAAATGGCATTTAAATATATAAAATAAATATCAAAAATATAAATCTTTGTTTTACTATGGTTGCAAATATCAAAAAATTTCTATATGTGACACGGCACCAGAGTTAAGTTCGGGTTTTTCAAAATGCTGACACGCCGAGCTCAAAAGGTTCGCCATCGCTGGTGTAGACTATGAACACGTGCGGACCCACTTGGTGGCGTTCGCCTGATTAAATCGTGGTTTTCTGTAACTAACGGCTGAGAAATGACTTCGTTAAGAAATACTGTCTTCAATTTATCTCGAGAAACTTCAGACGTTAAGCTCCCTGACCTGCTAAAGAAAACGCCGTGACAAGCATTATATGTAACTGTTTCTGTGATGCAGGATGGGGCAGGCTCCTGTACGCCCTCAGCCCAGACCTTGTATTTCTGGCTGAGGCGGTGCCTGCTGCGTTTAAATTACACCCTCTGTGCGTAGTTACAGTTTTTGCCTGAGTCTCATTTTACCAGAAAATCAAATAGGTCAGAAGTCCAACTCAGCAGCTTCATCCCTGGGTGACCTGCCAGCCCGCCTGCCCGGCAGCCCCGACTGCCCGAGGACCACTGACCTGGCAGCTCTTGCCAGGTCTCCTGTGCTCCCTTGTTCAGGAAAACAGGAAAAGAACCCATGAGTGCATGTCCTGAGGGTGCGTGCACGATGGGCCCGTCCTGGAGTCGTGAGCCCCACGCCCCTCCTGGCAGAGAAAGGGCCAGGTGCTGGTGCTGCCACCAGGGCACGCTCTGCATCACGGTGACTCGGGGACGGGACGCAGAGCCAGAATCACCAGCAACTCTAACCTCAGGAGAAAATGATCATACACATCGTCCCTTACACCGAGTTCCAAAATTCAGTTTAGTAAAAAGCATTTTTCACACGGCAGGGCCACGGGAATAGCTGTGTGAGCTACATGCCAGGGCCACGGGAATCGCTGTGTGAGCTACATGCCAGGGCCACGGGAATCGCTGTGTGAGCTACATGCCAGGGCCACGGGAATCGCTGTGTGAGCTACATGTCAGGGCCACGGGAATCGCTGTGTGAGCTACATGCCAGGGCCACGGGAATCGCTGTGTGAGCTACATGCCAGGGCCACGGGAATCGCTGTGTGAGCTACATGTCAGCATCGGGCCCCCCACACGGGCAGGGGTACCTTTCCAGGCTTCTGGAGCCACGTCCTGGGAGTGGGTGGCTGCCCCCCTCCCCCGCCAGCCGTCCCCAGCAGCCCCACACCCCTCACAGGTGGTTTCCAGTTTGACTTCAACCCAGGCCTCTTTGCAGCTCAGAACCAGACCTGACCCCCTTCAGGGCAGCCCCACCCAGATGCTGCACCTCAGCTTCCAGCCCCAGCCCCGGCAGTGTGTCCATCTGACACCACCCTCCACCTGCCCAAAGCTTGGCCCTGCCCAGCCACACCCCTGCGCTCCACCCAGTCCCCCTCTGGGCTGCTCTGCCCCACTCCCAGGCTCCTGCCCTCTGTCTCCTCTGAAATGCTCCCCCTTCCCCAGTGAGCGCTGGCACACCCTGGGCGTGGACAAACAGGTGCTAAAGGATGAACCAAGCCCCGGCTGCCAGCATAAGCGGCGCCTCTCCAGGGAGTGTGGCCAGCTCCCAGGCTGGGCAACAAGTACCTGAGTGAGCAGCTGCTCAGGCGCCAGCTGGTTGATCCAGCGCGTGTACCGCTCCGTGGAGTTGGGGGGCTCTCTCCTCACTTGGCAGCCTATGATCTGTGAAGCGGAAGGGAGTCTCTGTGAGTTCCTGGGTGCACACACCGGTGTGTCTACCTCTCACCTGGCACCAGTGGCACCTCTGGGCCGGGTTAGGGAGAGCTTCTGGGAACAAGGAGGAGGAGGGACCCTGCTGCTCTGCCCACAGCCCTGTGCACGCGAGGTGGCCTGTGTCCTCTCGGGTGACAGGTGACGGGTGACGGCACACAGGGGCCGCACACCAAGGATTTCACCCTCAGAGACTCTGATGCTCCAGGGCCGAGGCCGTGTGCTCGCTACAGGGCCTGCGCTGGCTCATCTGTAGCCCGTGGTGGTGCTGTCCTTGCTTCTGCTCCACATGGTGCTGCAAAGACAGAGGGGCCCAGCATCCCCTCGACGCGGGGCCGCCGGCAGGATGTTCACGAGCTTATTGCTCGTGCTGAGCTCCCTGGGAACTCGCTGACCTCGGAGACATCCTACCAAGGGTCCATCTGTCCCAAAAGCCGTCAACATGGGCTGGGAGTGCTCCAGGATGCTGCCCTCCTTGGCAAGGTGCCCTGCACCCCAGCTCCGGCCCCGTAGCTGATCTCTGCTCGGAAAGGTTCAGTACGTGGCCACAGTGGGGCTGCCTAGTGACGCCCACACATTCTGCAGAGACTATGCAGCTGCACCATTTGTGGAAGCCACCACAGGGCCTTGCCTTCACAATGAAGTGGCTTTCTTGTAACCTGCTCTCAGAAAACAGTGGCCAAGGGCAAGCATACACTTAGCATTCACTTCATTCTTTCCCAACTAAATATATGATACACTCGACAAAACCACCAATCAGCAACCGCAAATTAAGGTTTTGTAGGTCATGATTAAAAAAAAAATCCAACCCCACAGTAACGAGCTCTCTAAAGCTGCTTTGTTCTGATGCAGCCAGACCGTGAGGACATCCGTCTCCACCGAAAACCTGCAAGGCAGGAGCTGGCCGCACAGAGCAGCCCCAGCCGCCAGCCGGGAGCACTGGCAGGAGGAGGCAGAGCTCCTCCTGAGCATGAACTCGAGTAGATGGCGAGCAAGAAAAGCTCAGCCCTGAACTTTGTAGAAACGCAGACCAGGGTAGTTTAAGTGAAGAGCATGAGGAACAGACGCAGGCTGCCTTCTTCCAAACTCCTTGTGTCCCAGGCCTCGTGGTCCATCTGAGTCTTGCCTGCAGGACTAATTACTTGCCCGAAGTAAGTTCATTAAGGAGCTGATCGTGTTTGTTTTCAGTATGAAAATGAAGAAGGTGGACAGCAGCTCGCTCTCGAGAGCGCCCACACGGGTGCCAGGGGCCGTAGCAGCTTCCACGTGGGCCACATTTCAATGCTAGGAACCGCGGGGTGGCAGTCACTCGGAAGGAAGACACGGCGACCCCATGAGGACGGCTCACCCAACTGCTCAAACACAGCGTCGTCCCTGCGGGGCGGGGCCGTGCCTGTGACTGTCGCAGGGTCACACGATTAGCGTGGACAGGCAGAAGCAGTTAGCTTGGCCGTCAGTGCGTTAAACTCGGAAAAGCTGGGCTGCTCCTCCGGAGTCGTGCCACCTGCAATTCCGTCACACCTGTCAGACCAGAGAGAAACTTCTGCAAACCTGCAGCTGCACTGCCCTGTGGACGACCTGTGAGCAGAAGTCCATCCAGGGCTTCTTCCCACTCCTCTTCCTCTTCCCAGCAAACGAGCGAGACCACAAGGCGTGTGCATCTAATCTCTCCTTTCACGTCACTGGGGCTGGAGGCCAGTCTACTGACCCCACGGAGGAATCCAATGATGCCCGATGACCAGGGCCTGAAGGTTGCAGGTCCAGCCCACTGTCCGGAGCTGGACGATGTACCCACGTGGCTCCTAGGAGCAGTGACTGTCCCAACGCTGTGTCCAAGCATGTTTTCCGACTTCTTTCCCAACCAGGAAGTGGTGAGACATGACATCTTCAGTGCAGTGGGCACCACCATCACTGACGGCTTCGGTGACCTGCCACACTGGAGCTTCGGGACCTGTTCCTTCCAGGCCGGGGGGTGCGGGGGGAGAGGGGTCGGATGCTCTCCACAGTGGGAGGACCAGCACACTCAGCGAGGAGCACAAGAGGGAGTGTCTGAGGACGGGACGGGGCCTCGGCCGCCTCCCCGCGCACGGCTCCTACAGGGAGAGGAGCCACACGCCGCCGAGGAGGGGCCCCCGAGAGTGCCAGGAAGATGGTCCTAGAGAGCCTGGCTCTGGGGCCGACAGGGAAGCTGCTCTAGAGAGAACACGACTGAGCTACCGGTGGGAGAGGGACTGTTAGGCCCTGTGGTGACACAGGAAGCTCTCAGCCTCTGCGTTCATGTCCAAGGGGCACAGCTTCAAAGATGCTGATCAAACAAAACAGAACAAAAATCCAGAGACCCTCTGTACCCACCAGAAGGCAGCAAGTGCCACCCCAACGAGGAGGCATGTCCTCCTTCACAGGAGAACACCTGCAGGCCTCACAGTGCCCTGGGAGGGCAGTCCCACCGTAACCGGCCTTCCACCCAGGAGGACTCCGAGCTGAAAGGCTGTGCTGCTCAATGAGCACTGACCCGACTCGGGGGGTTGTGCTCAGGGCCGTGATTCTGCATGTGTCTCCGGAGAGCCACCCAGGCAAGAGCCTGCACCTGTATCCGGTGGGGCCTCCCTCCCACAGGCAACATGACCCTTCACATACACCTCTGAATGTGCCAGATAAAATACACAGGTAACATGAATTATTTTTCAAATTGTGCCCTTGTTTTAATAATTACTGTCACTATCTTCCCATTTCCCCCAAGACCACACCAGGGGTATCATAAACACTGCCTGTGAGAATTTGCACGTTAGGTATTTGTGTGTGAACTTCTTATGGTTTTAGCCAAATGAAGTGTTATCAGTAATAAGCAGGTCTCTTCTTAACAAGAAAAACAAATAAATAAAAGAAAAAAGCTGTGATGACAATCTTATCAGAGGCAGTGAAAACACAGAACCAGACGTCAGCACTTACGCTTGTTGGGTGCCGGACGGCGGCTTCCAGCTGCAGCCTCACCCTCTGAGGCATCATCACGTCGTCCTGCAGGGAGGAGCCCACGTTAACTCACGGGAAGCCACAGACACAAAGGGAAGAGGCAGGCAGCCCCCAGCAAAGCGGGCAACAGACCAGACAGGCAGCTCAGACCCTGCCCAGTGGACCAGATCCTGTGGGTCAGCACTGACCTAGCCACAGCCTGCAGCTCTCGCACGCTGCACAGGCAGCAGGCGACCCGGCCGCGCAGGCAGTGTGGCGGGCAGCTGGGGAGGGATGGCTGCAGAGGGACACTGCGTAGAGGGACAGGCTCACAGTGCGGCAGGGGAGTGAGCAGCTAAAACACAGCGTCCAGCTTTTCCACCCTGGCCTAGGACCCTCTTCTGTCTCAGGGCGTCCCTGCTCCTCCAGCTTTTAGAAGGGAACTTAGTTTTAGAAAGAGTGTATGTGAGAAAACCAACAACATACTCAATAGGGAAAAGTTCCAGCTCTCCATCTTGAGACGGGGAAGGAGACAAGAATGGCCATGCTCACGACTGTAACAAATTACTGAGACTTAAGTCAAGAAAAAGAAATACAAGACAGAGGGTTAGAAAGAGGAAGATTGTGTATATAAGCCAATCAAGAGAATCTACAGAGAAATATTAGAATTAAAAGTGAATTTAGCAAGGTTTCTGGAGACAAGATTGATAAAGTTCAATTAATTTTTTTATAGCTGCAAAGTTTTTTTAAATGATGCCACTTATAACAGTATCAAAAAAAAATCAAATAACTCTCATATATTGCTGGTGAGAATGTAAGAAGGTGCAGCCCCTTTGGAAAACATTCTGGCTGTTCCTCAAAGTGCTACATACAGTTACTGTGCCACCAGCAATTCCATCCGCCCACACGCCTCAGAGCTGAAAGCTCTCGTACAGGTGGTCCCGCGGCCTGTCCATCACAGCCAGGAAGTGGAAACTACTGAACGTTCATCCCTGGTAAATGGAAAACAGCCTGTCCAAACCCTGGCGACGTTCTCAGCAGCAGGACTGAAGTATGACACAGCAAAAGCAGCCAACCACCAGAGCACGTGTGAGCCACCCCACGTCCATGGAGCTCTAACAGATCGCTCAACTCGTGACCCACAGCCCACGTCATAGCTGTAGGAGGACCGAGGGGAGGGAGCCAACGGGAAGGCTCTGAGGCGGGACCTGGGCCACCTGGAGCCGAGGCCACCACCTCCTCCCACACTCTGCCAGGCTGGCGTGGCCTGCAGTCACCCATGGGCACCTAAGGGGACCCAGGAAGCAGAGTGAGGCACAGCCCGGAGCTGCTGGAGGAGAAAACGGGAAGGGAGTCTCCACGCTGCCCTCGTACCCAAGGAAAGGCTGCCTGTGCTGACAGCAGAGTCTCGCTCTAAAAGCAGCAGCGATATCATCATGTGGGAGCACCGCTCCCGGTGAATACATGAACTGGAAGGTCGAACTGCGACATGAACAGGCAAAATCACAAAGAAAGAGACAACAGTGGGAAAGGAGCAGACGGCAGGACCTAACACTCAAACGCAAGAACCCCAAGAGCAAAAAACAAGATAAAAAGGGAAGAAATGAAGAATTAATATAGAAAAATTTATCTCATTTGAAAAAACCTTGAGTCTGCATTTCAAAAGAGCTCACCCAATTCTAGGAATACAGAAAAAAAAATCTTATAAATCTTCAGTAACAAATATAACTTAAAAACCAGCAAATCCGCCGAAGCCGGTTTGGCTCAGTGGATAGAGCGTCGGCCTGCGGACTGGAGGGTCCCAGGTTCGATTCCGGTCAAGGGCATGTACCTGGGTTGCGGGCACATCCCCAGTGGGAGATGTGCAGGAGGCAGCTGATCAATGTTTCTCTCTCATCGATGTTTCTAACTCTCTATCTCTCTCCCTTCCTCTCTGTAAAAAATCAATAAAATATATTTTAAAAAAACAAAAACAAAAAAAAAACCCCAGCAAATCCCAACTGATACAGAAAAAGTATCTGACAAAAAACCCAACACGTGTTCACAGTAAAAGCTCTGAGCAGGCCAGGAACACAGTGTGGTGGCGCCTGCAGCCAGCGCAGCGCTGAGGGAGAGTGGACGCTTCCCGCTGAGACAGTGGGAGGCAAGGATGTGCGCCTGTCAGCGCCGCGCCAGCAGGTGAGAGAGGTCAGAAGGGAAGAAGCCAGCTGTCTCCAGGGCAGGGGGCAGTCGTGCACCTGGAGAATCCTCACTGGTGAGAGCGCTGCAGGATCACAGGATGGGAGACCAGCAGAGAGCCACGTCTCCACGTAATCAGTCACATGGGGCACAAGTGAAAAGAGTGTCCACTTACAACTGCTCCAAGGAAACTGAAACATGTTGGCGCAAACATAACGAAGCATGTATGTGGCCTGATGTCCTTCTGCGCAGGAAGCACACGGGTGCGGGGCGGCGGACACAATGCTCGCCGTGCGCGGAGTTCTTTGCCCTGTCCTTGCAACTTTTCTCTAAGTTTGAAAAGGAAAAGTGGGGAAAAGATGCAAACATGTTACGAGAAAAGGAAACTGGCGAGGCCGTCAACATAGACCGTGCTTGGCGCAATCTGAAACCAGGACACAGTGAGGCCGCTCCCTCCATTCATGGGCCAACACTGCAGAACCTGCAGTCCCAGTGCCGGAGAGGCCCTGCCCCCAGGCCACCACCCATGGCCCCTGCAGTGTCCCTGCAGCCTGGGGTCCACATCTGGGTGTGACCCCAAGAGGACGTCTGCCACATGGACAATGAAGGTGATACAGGCACGTTCACAGGGCATGTTTCACAAGAGTAAAGGCATAGAAATAGCCCACCCGCCCATCGACAGGAGAAGGGGCGAGTACATGATGGTGTGTGCTCAGTGGGATGTTGTACAGCAGGCAGAGGGAATCAAGTGCCCACAACAGACAAACAGAACAGAAGGGAAAACTGGAAATAAACCCACACTGATACGGCCAATGGACTTTCAACACAGGCGTCGGCCGGTTCACGGGAGAAAAGTCTCCTCAGCCCGCAGTGCTGCCACCGAGCACCACAACAAACAGCCACTTCCGACCCCACAGCACCCACAGAAATCAGTGGGACGTGGACAACAGATTAAATAAAACCTAAAGGCTATAAGCTACTGGCAGAAAACATAAGAGAATAACTTCTCCTTTGGGGCAAGCAGAGATTTCTTAGGAAAGAAATTAACTCTAAAAGAAAAAATTATTAAATTTGACTTATCAAAATGTAAAACTGCTCATCAAAAGACACCACTAACCTATGAAAAGTGAAGCCACATTCTGGGAGCAAATACTCACAGTACATGCACCTGACAAAGGACCAGGGTCCCAAACAAAGAACAAACTTTCTTAACTCACTAACAGGAAGGGAAGCCAATTTTAAAAAGTAGGCAAAATATCTGAATAGGCATTTCACAAAAAAATGGCCAATGAACCATGAAAAGGTGCCCAACATCATGATCTACCAGGGGAATGTAATTAACACCGCAATGAGACACATCATGTCTGCTCGAGTGGCTGAAACTACGCCGACAGCAGTGGGGCAGGCGAGGAGGTGGGCCGGTCGGACAGCAGGAGATGTAGAAATAAGTTGTGGTCCATTCATACAAAAGATAATAACAACCAAGAATGAACCACCAACACGCAACTATCACAGGTGACCACTATGCTAGTGAACAGCTAAAAACAATAGTACATACTACAAGTTCCATCTTATGAATTCGAGAACAGGCAGCCTTCGCAATGTGGAGTGATCGGATAGTCTGGATCTTGGCAGGGGTCTTAGTTATGTAGTGAATACAGTTGTCAAAACGCATCAAATTGTCATTTTGAACAATTTTCCCATTAAAATCTTGTGTATCACTGTATATAAATTTCACCTCAGTTTTAAAAAACTGAATAAACTATGACATGCAACAAAATAGATGAGTCTTAACAAAAGAAGTTTTAAATTTCCAAAGTATTATATACAGCCCGATTCTCTTTTTATAAAGTTAAAAACAGCTAAAAAATTTTTTACATTAAGTTCTTTAGATTTGTAGAGAGACCGAGGCTCAGCAGGGGAGCCACGGCATGTGGCTGGGGTCACCGGAGAGGCGGCAGGCGCTGATGTGGTCGGGGGACTGAGTGGGCTCATTCTGGGCGGCAGGTCCATGGGTCCCATATGTTATCAAGATAAACATGCAACACAGTCATGCAACAGAAACAGACACAAAACGGAGCTGGCATCAGGACAGATGAGACTTTTCTGAACCAGGAACATGACTGACTCAAGTCTGTGCTCCTGAGACCTCAAGTTAAAAACAAGGAGATCACCATGGAAACTAGAAAATTGGAACAAGACTAGGATGCCATGTTCAGAAGCTGTAGGACCCTTATAGTGATCCTGAGAAAACCAAACTTATTTACATTCTTCATTGACTTACTTCAAATGAACCCTGAGAGCAATTCCAACTCCCAGTGTCTGACAGCTGCACCCCCTCCTGTCTGACCGACGCCCACCCCGCAGCCTCCCCGTCTCCGCAGATGGTCCTGTGACAGCTCCCCGCCATCTCTGACCACCCCTCTACTCTTCCCCGGGACTGAGCAGGCCAGGCGTCCAACTTGCTCTTTCTCTCTCTCTGGCCCTAAATGCTAAAGGGCATCTTCAAGGACCTGGCTCCCCACCCGATGACGGCAGGCAGGGGTTTTGGACCTTCCTCTGCCCTCCTCGGTCTGTGGTTGGTGGCAACTCTGCTGACGCCCACCGCCTGCTTTACCGGTACTTGGTGACTCCTGGATAGGAAAGTTCCGCCATTCTAATCTAGGCCCCATATTTTCTAACACTTCCACCTGGATATCACCTCAGTTAGGTCTTTTTTCCTTCCCTTTATTGAAAAAAAGGAAGTTACAGCAGAGACCCTGTTGGGGAGAGGATAACTTGAGCATCTCTCTTCTTCTTCCAAGACGGGAACCAAGTTCTTCAAGCTGGGCTCTCCATACTGAGGAGATCTTAAGATCCCTCGAAGACGAGATGGTCCGATCCAGCACCAATCACCAGCTCAAATGAAGTTTATATTGTCACTAGTGGCCTGGTGCATGAAATTTGTGCACATTAAAAGGGAATTAATTAGAGGAAATATTTTAATATTGCTATTTGCCCTTTCTCTATAATAGACGTATCAGAGATGAAAGAAAATTAGTAAAATGTATATGAAAATCTCCTTCCTGTCAGAGTCTGGGGTGCGCCGCGCGACCCAGAGTCAAGTCCCCGCCCATCCGCGCGCTTCGAAATCGCAGGAGACCCAGACCCAGCCGGCCCCACCCCTGTCAAGCCCTGCTGGGCACGGGGCGCAGCCTTAGGTCTCCTGGCCCCGGTGCCGGGGCAGGGGGTGCGGCCTGAGGTCCCCCGCCCCCCACCAGGTGCCACGCAGCCTCAGTCCCTGCTGATTGGTTGTTAGGCGTCACTACGTGATGACCATTTTCATATTTGCCTTTTATTATGATGATTAGCGAGAAATACATGCTCGCTATAAGTATTTCAGAAAGAGCAAGCTTAAAGAGAAAAATAAATAACCAAATCACCCAAAGGCCATAAAAGCACAATTGTCAATGTGGTGGGTGAAGCTGTCTTCGTTGGAAACTGTTTATGAAAATGTTGGATGGTCCATCGTGTGAAAATAAGCCCAGAGCAGGATCTGAAAGGAGATGACAAAGCGAGGGGGTGGCAGAGGGTCCCCACAAGAGAGCAGGGAAAGTGGAAGAGTTTCAGCCTAAGAAAGAAGAGGAAGATGAGAGACCAGAGCAGCAGGGCAGGAAGCTGCAGCCTCTGCTGGGGTCTTGTTTTCAGGACAGGGCTGTTTCATGGGCAAGTTTACGTTTCGTGCGCGCGCGCGCACACACACACACACACACACACACACAATCTTCCCCAACGTCCACACGTACTACAGCCTTGTCTATAGGTTCCTGGTCATCAGGGGAAAGGCTGAGTCAATATGAGACAAAAAGAAGCTTCCTATGTGGATTAATTCAGCACAAGTGGGAACTCTGAGCCAGTGCTGAGCTTGAGAAGGAAAACAACCCCCCCCCCCGCCCACCCCGGGGAATGCACAGAAGACTGGGAGCTCTGTACCCCAGACTCGAGGAAGGAGTGCAAGTGCTCTTCAAGTGCGCTTCAAAGTAACCACAGAGGCCCTGACCGGTGTGGCTCAGTGGATAGAGCGTCGGCCTGCGGACTCAAGGGTCCCGGGTTCGATTCCAGCCAAGGGCATGTACCTTGGTTGCAGGCACGTGCCCAGTGGGGAGTGTGCAGGAGGCAGCTGATCGATGTTTCTCTCTCTCATCGATGTTTCTAACTCTCTATCCCTCTCCCTTCCTCTCTGTAAAAAATCAATAAAATATATTAAAAAAAAAAGTAACCACAGAGAAAACCCCTCACTGAGTGTACACTACAGATGCAATCACGTATTCTCTTTTCACCAATCATAATCATTTGTCATGTTATTAAACACTTTTCATAAAAGATGAGTAATTCCCTCACACAGACCTTCACTATTACTCCACTGGCTTGTACTGTTGTTTCTCATTTCCCATCCTAATAGCAAACACTGAAGCTCCTTGTACGTAAATCTCTCTTGGAATTTCAGAGGCGCCTACAGGAGAAATGTAGGGGTCAAGGGCATAAACATTTTGCAGTTCTTGAGACACAATGCAAAATGATGCCATCAACAGTGCCAGCTCACACCTTTCAAGTCCCGAGTATCTACAACTTTAAAAAACTTTGTTAACCTGGTTTTTCAGCATCTCACTAATTTGTTTCATGCAAATGATTTCAACTTTTTTTTTAAAGCCTGTCATTTGCACTTCCACTTTTGTGAAGTCCCTACTCCAGTCCTTTCCTATTTGTCATCGCCCGTATTTCTTTGTATTTGCTCAACTTACATGAACTATTTATTCTTAAGGCTATTAATCTTTTTAGTATTGTATTTGTCCACATCTTCCCAGTTTATCTTCATTTTTCTTTATATGGTGCTCTGCTATGCGGTTTTGCTTTTTTATGTAATCCAATTTATCAAAACTTAACTCATTAAGTGCTATGGTAATTAAACGGCAAAAACCTATCTACCTTAAAAGTTCTGATTATAATACATTAGAAGTTGTTGTCAAGAACCACACTAAAATGTAAGATTATTTAATTATTCAACATATATGTGTGTATATATACATATTTTAGCAATAAAACAAAGAGTTACTTACCGAATCCAAAAAGCACAGGTAAGACCCTGAGCTCTGGGCTATTGCTTGGTTTTTAGAATATCCGACTGTTTAAAAAGAAAACAAAAGCTCTTTTATGATTCAATCTTCGATGGTACTCTTGTTCATAAAACTATGTAACATGTACTACAGGAATACTGGGAGCACTCTGCGCTACCACGAGGGGATCAGGTTAGCCGTAGGAGGAAGGGGAGGGAGAAAAGCAGGCTCCATGTTTAGCGGCTGATACAATAAGCACGATGCTGACCCTCGAATGGCCACCAGCACCAGGGCCGTGTGGGGGCTCCAGGCTGCCCAGGGCAGGTAAGCTCCGCCCGCTTCTGCAGGAACTGCTGTTGGGCTGAGGAGAAAGGGCCAGCCGGAACCGGCTTCTCAGTAGGGAATGCTGTGCAGAAATTAACGCTGGGCAAGCTGTCTGGGTGCTGAGGGCAGGGCCGATTGGAGGAGGCATTTAGTCCCAAAAGAAGGGGCTGAGGAGACTTTAGGGGCACAACAACCACTCTCCCTAGAGAAGAGGCTGCTGACACCTGAGTCGTGTTAACTAGACAGTTACAGATTCGGTGCCACCAAGAAAAGTGACACAAAGCAAAACAGATGTGTGCAAAGTTAACACACTCAATCCCTCTGGTGCTCAAAACCACGTCGACCTGGAGAAGGTGGTAGGTGCCCAGGGGACACTAGCAAAGTGTTTCCGGCCACACCCAAGGTACTTCCAGGTTTATCGCTAATCACCTCTCCAAGGTGGAGAGAGAGAGGGCAGGTCCTTCCTGTTGGCTGCTCTGGAGCACCAAAGTCAACCAGCTGCAACAGAGAAGTAGGGACAATTAACAGCCATCTGCCCTCACTCTGGTCATCAAAGGCTGACCCAGGGCAGTGCTGTTTTCACACAGGGTAGCAGCTTAATTTCTAGCTTTAATCCCAGAGCTCAGCCAACCCAAGCCAGTCAGCAGCAGGGTCCCAGGTTTCAACAAACTACAGGATAACAAGGCAGAGAAGCAAGTGCAGAGGCAGGCAGAGCGAGGGGCTCCCGACCCCTGGGGACGGCTTAGCAGCCATCCCCGAAACAGCTGTGGCTAAATCTCCATCATCACTGCAAAGCGAGGCAGGCCCAGAGAAAGACCTCATGGGAATCAAAACCGAAGAGCAGCACGTGGAAACTGGAAACTAGGAAGAGACCTTCCACAATCACATTTAAACTATGAGTTCTGTTTTAAAAGTCGCTTATTAGAACTGGGTTTAGAAGGGGAAAATCAAACCCAAGCATCTGAGAGATGAAGGAAAACGCTGCTCACGAAGGACCTGGAAGTTTCCCACAATGAATCTTCTGTTTGGCAAAGACAAGGAATTTGCTTTAATATTATTGCCTTGAAGAAAGTCAAATGTTTGTGCCAGGGCCTGATGTTTGGGGAGGCCCGACCCTTTGTGAGGGGAGCCGGTTGTCATGGTCACAGCAGAAAAAACTCAGGCCACAGTATGGCATCAACATTCCTTACTCCTGGAGAAGAGGGTGGGATTGTGTTTTATTTTTATTTTAGCAAGTGATCACATTATTAAGAAATGTTTTGCTCTACTGTGATAGAAAATGATAATAAATGAACCTTAATCCAGTTAAAGTAACCCAGGAATCCTGAAAATAGATACTTTGGATCTATGTTATCCAATATTTCCTATTTAAGAAAATACTGTTACAGGAAAAGATGTCCTTTCAGACATAATCAAATTAACTCCATTTTGTTATGTGTAATATGGGATCTGCCTTACCTAATTTCAAAAAGACAGCAGGATGACTCCATTTTCTTTTTCACAATATTACAACAAATTCTTTTGTCATTAGTAGAATACATTCAAATGTGATATAGCTCTAGTTATAGCTAATCAATAAAAAGTATTTTATGAAAGACAAAACGTTTTTATTTATCGATTTTATTTTTTTTAAAGAGAGAGAGGGAGAGAGAGACACACATTGGTTTGTGGCTCCACTTGTTTATGCACTCAGTGGTTGATTCTTATATGTGCCCTGACTGGGGGTCGAACCTGCAACCTTGGTATATCGGGGGACACTCTAACCAACTTAGTAAGTGGTCAACTTAAGTATTACTCAGGATGCTTTTCAACAGGATTTAAAAAACACAAAACTACCTGCGTATATAAGTAGATTAAAAAACCATTCATTACAGCTGAATAATAAGCTAAGCATATGGTAACTGACCTCCTCTGGGAGAAGGAGAATCGTGCCCTCCAATGACTACGAGGATACCGGAACCTTCTAGCTTCACTTTCCATTTTTCAATGATAGCCATAGACTTGTCCTGAAAGCAAGAAGGCATGGGCAGGTCAGGAAACTCCCATCAGAGGAGTCCAACGTGACCTGCATGGGGGACTGTCATCGGGAAGCTCGTAAGTACCTTACTGGCGTCATTAAAAACCGAGAGCTCCATGGCGCCTTCGAAGTCCTGCTGCAAAACAGACCTCAAGCACTCGTCCAACCAGGGCTCCGCATTGTGGACGGGGAGGATCACAGACTGGAATCCAGAGAAATGGGTTACCAAATAGTGTGAACACTGAACACTCATTTCCCGCAGGACCACGCGTGACAAAATAACCCAAAACCAGGCTTCCAGGGAAAGAATGTGCGGACACAGACTATGCCTTCTCTCCACGTTCTTCAATCTCTGGTTCCAGGAGATGTATTTCATGTTACATGTCCCTGAATTGGTTTTTGGGATTCTTTTGAAAAGGAAACAAAAATCTGAAAGGCTTCAAAAATGTTCCCGATTCCAGGGCAAATTCATGTTTCCAATCACTTGGCCAGAAACACCATCATTGTGGTTGATACAAGCATCTGCGCATCTTTCAACCCAGTCATGAAAATAACCGAGGGGTCCTTTTCTGGGTGGGATGCTCGTGTTCGGTAAACCAGGATGTTGGAGAAGCAACAAAGAAACCCTTTAAAGACCCCTCCACATGCTTCATTCGGGCGGGGGCGGGTGCTGGGACGGGGAGGGGACTCCCGCCCTCTCCCGCTGCTCTACGCATTCAGCAGATGGTCGTGCCCTTTCTCCGAGAGCACAGATAAAACAAGAATTTCTAAAGTGTACGGAACCGACTTCCGGTGAGCCGTGCACATTCACACATTCAGCAACGCAGACCACCCAGGGGCGCACGTGCCGAGGCGCAGACACCTGCACACGCCGCACGAGGATGAGTGTGTCACAGCAAAAACCTCCGTGCGGAAACGGTTCCGCGAGGCTCCGAGAGACAAGCGTGAACACACAACTCTGTGTTCTCCGGGGGCTCTGACCCAGCGCGTGTCAATCACAGAGTAGTTCCGTGCACTTGCTTCACTTTGGGGAATTGTTTTTTTCAAGAAAAAGAAAAAAAGAACCTGTCTATTCAAGGTCTACCAGACAAAGCATGACGGGAATATCGGTCACAGGGGCCTGGACTCGGTCCGTCCGCGCTCCGCCGGAGCGGGGGACTTTGGGCGGAGACCACCCGAGGCAAGCCCAGAGGAGGTGGGGACCGTACCCGGACACAGAGGCGGGAGGGAGGGGGACGAAAGGGGACGGGAGCGGGGGCGGCGCGGCCACCTACCACTTGAGCCCGCATGGCCTCCTCCTCCGGACGCCCCGCCCACGTCGGCCTACGGCGCGTGCGCGGGAGGCGGGTCCGAGGTAGCGCCGCCTCCGATTGGCACAGAGAGACGCCAATCAGGCAGGGCGGGGCGGACGTAGTGGAGAGGCGTGGCCTAGAGCGGCCTGAGGACCACGTCATCGGGCTTTTGGCCGTGGGGACCCTTGTGTCCGGGGTTCCGCTCTCATCCTCTCCTTGACCCCCGGAAACCCGTCCTCATCTGCGGGGTTTACAACGCCCAAGTCCTCGGAGGAGTCAGGGGTCACCGAAGCACGTGGGTGGCGAGGAAGGCGCACGCTTTGCGGATGGTTACGACCTAAAATCCAAACCTTGTCCGTGTGAAGGAGGCAGGGGACGGGTCCTCTGCACTGTCTTACCTGAGTGGGGACACCTGCAGCCCGGGCGTAGGGAGGTGGAAGCCGAGGAAGGCGCCCTGCGGTTAAAGCACCTTCCCTCCCACGCCCCGCGGTGCCTCCCCCCCCCCCACACCCCCCCCACCTCCGTCCTGGAGGCCTCGTTGCCTGGGGAGTTGGCCCCGCAGTGGACAGCGCTCTGGGCACGAGCCAGGTGGTCCGGTGCCAGCACACGCGGGAGGGAGACAAACGGGACCCGCTGTGACAGGCCAGCAGTGCCAGCACACACTCGGGGTTAGTCCCAACTCCTCTAAATTAATGAGCAAGTTTACAGCCATCGCTGCAAGGACAAACCCTTTAATGCTCCGAACTAAGATTAAGTGCAAATCCTTCTATAAACTAACCACTACAACAAAGCCAACCTTCTGTTGTAGGCATCCCTTGAAGTGTAATTCTTCCTTAAATTGCATCACTATGAGCAAAGCCTGTCGTACAAGTGGAAACTCCTAGGTCACGTGAGTAAAAATGCAGTCTTATCTAAGGTGGAACACGCTCCCTGGGAATTTGTGGTGGCTACCAGAGTATGGGCTCTGATTCAGAGCTGGGGCCCCAGTAATCAGTGGGAGGAAGAGATGGGGGTGCCAGACACCCCCACATCATGTGCGTCGGACTTGGGCTTGGCTGCTCCTGCCTGGCTTTCTGTACATCTATCAGCTGCCAGAAACTCTCTTTTCACTGTGTTCTCCTTAATAAAAATTTGGTTAGAATCGGCTTTTTGTGAGCAGAGTGCCAAGAGGCACTTCAGAAATGCAGTGTGTGGCTGGATGGGGCCTGAGGTCATTCCCTTCACGGTAGGAAGATTGTCAACAGAGACCAGGCCTGGGGACTGACACCCCCTGGAGGGGGGCACGGGGAGGATGTGGTAGAATAAAAAGGTGAACAAAGTCAAGGACACCTGCAGGGAAAGCGATGCAAAAGTCCCACTGCTCACTGTTGGTTCACCAAGTGACATAGTTCTTTATTTTTATTTATTTTATTTTTTAAATGCAGACTGTTTAGTGAAGACTGGCTGTATTCAGAAGACCACCAGCCAAGGCCTCCAAATTTAAAAACTGATCAACAGCCTCTTACGATGCTGGTGTAGATGGCAAAGATGTGGCTGGGGATACCAGGCCCAGAGTCAGACACTACCTTCAGTCTGTCAGTGAAGCGGGGGTGTGTGTGTGTGTGTGTGTGTGTGTGAAGCCTTAACAACAGCCCGATGTTCCCTGACAGCTCACACGGCAATACCTCCAAGCAAGTGTCCCTTCCAAGTTTCCTGATGTGATGAACCCCATGAGAGCCCTGGCAGGACCTCCCCGGGCAGTGGGTGCTGCTGGGAGGAGCTCCCCAGCGCTGTGGAGGGCAGTGCCCAGGACTGTAGGAGATTGAGTGCCCATAGCTGCCCGAGCACCCCGATAATAGGTCTGTTCACAAGGGAGCAGCCAGCTGTCTGTGAGTATGACATGTGCGGATGTCTCCTTTTATTGTTTTGTTTTGTTTTCCCTCTCGTTTTTTTTAAAGGCTAGTTGATAGTCACCGAGTTGATTTAAGAAGCCAAAGCAGGACTTCCTACCAGCTGAAGGAAGTAATGAGGTTCCCATCACAGGAAGCATTTAATTAACAGCTGAGAAAACATCTGGTGTGGACAGGTGGCAGTATCTGAGTATCACGTAGGATGTTTTTCTTGGCCTGGGTGCTGCTTCCTTAACATGTAGATCCCGGGCCCAGAAACCTGGAACTCCCTGAGCACCTGCATGAGGCTTATCACCAATGCCTCTAATTTCAACGAACAGATCCACGACTTACAGGTCTCCTCATATTGGTCAATCATCTCGGCTAATCTTCTGCAGAGCCTGAGTCTGGGCCTATGCAGGGCGGGGTTCTGCTCCAGGAAGCTGGGGCCAGGAGAGTGAGGCAGGCCAGGAGAAGGGGTAAGGACCAGGGTGCTCTGTTGAGGGGGGGTCCCCATCATGGTCCTTTCTGAGCAGAGAGCCCTTCAGCTCTCTCTGTAAGAGGTTGGCATCACTTCTGTGCTTGTTTCAACGTTTTAATATTCTGTTAAAATGGATGGGACCCTAAGCAAATAGGAATAAGTTTAATATTTTTAAAAGCTAACACTCAACGGCAAGAGTATGTTAGAACATGTCTTTGGAGGACACGTCTGGCCTTTTCACCACCGCCCACCGTGCCTGTCGACATGACTGCTGTGCCTCGTGAACTAAAGATGCGGAAGCATAAGAACTAATAGCCGGCAACACGGCATCAGCAGACCTGGGAAGAAAGGGGGTTTGCCCCTGGACCGCAGCTCTGGCAGGCCTGTCGCCTCTGGGTTTGTGCCCCAAGCAGCTGTTCAACAAAGAACAAGGTTGAACCAGCTGCCTCGAGATTGTGTCTGTCCTGAGCCTGCCCGCAGCAGATTAGTCGAGAAGATTTACCAATGTGCAGAGACTTGTAAATCATGGATCTGTTCGTTGAAATTAGAGGCATTGGTGATAAGCCTCACGCAGGTGCTCAGGGAGTTCCAGGTTTCTGGGCCCGGATCTGCATGTTGGCTGCTGAGTCTCGCAGTTTGCAGAGTGGAGGAAGCGGCATGAGATATTCATGTAGCTGAGTGGGGCCCGAGCCAGGAGCCAGGAGCCAGGAAGAGTTAGCACGTGCGGCCTCTCCCTCGTGGGCCCTTTGCTCAGAGTGACCGAAACTCGCAGAGCCTGCTTCTTGACTGTGAAGGGGGTGACGGCAGTGGGGGGGACACAAACTTGTGGGCTGCCAGGAAGGGGTGAACAAGTTCTGACACGTTCACCTGTTACCCCTCACGGGATGATGCCTTGGCTTCTTGTCAGCCACTAAAATGAAGAAATGTGGCAAAGCCTGACTGGCGTGGCTCAGTGGTTGAGCATCGACCTATGAGCCAGGAGGTCATGGTTTGATTCCCAGTCAGGGCACATGCCCGGGTTGTGGGCTCGATCCCCAATGTGGGATGTTTCTACCGCTCTCTTCCTCTCCATTTCTGGAATCAATAAAAATATCCTATAAAATAAAAGACTAATATGCAAATTGTCCCCTCGACCAGAAGTTTGACCGCTCACTATGACGTGCGCTGACCACCAAGGGGCGGCATGGAACACGACAGGCATCAGCAACGCGGCGCTGGCAGTGGGAGGCAGTGGAGGTGCTCCTGCCCCAATGGGCCCCGACGAGCATAGGACTGCAGCGGGATGGTGGAGCAGGTGAATGGGTGGTGCCAGGCCAAGGCGGGTGTGAGCAGGGTGACCAGTTCCGGCGGCAGGGGGTAGGGATGCCGCACAGCTCCCAGGCGCTGAGGGAGCCGGGTGGGGCCCAATGACTCAGGCGGATGGGGGTGCGTGGGGGTCTGGGAGCCCAGGTGCTGCCCAGGGCCCAGAGGTCAGCTGGGACGTGCCCTTCCACGCCAGACATTCACGCTTTGATCGCCAGCCAGACCTAGGGACTGCACTTGAGCACAAATTTCGTGCACCAGGCCTCTAGTATATATATATATAAAAAGAAAGAAAAATAAACATGACAAAAAGGTCAGATTGTGGGTTGATGGGTGGTGTCCATTACTCCTGACACTGGGCCCACCAGCAAGGACCCAGGCCAGGGCTCACTCAGCATCCTCCTCCCACCCTTTCCCACCCCTAGAACCCCGGAAAACACCGGGGCATCTAGGGTCCTGACCACCCCCTGGCTGCTCTGGGTCTCAGGTTTGCGGGGAGTGAGGGGGTTGCATTTGGTCTTATTTCCCAGAATGTCTTCAGGTCAGTCCTTAAAACCCGTCCCCCAGTAAAGGCCTCTCAGCCAAGAAAAGCACTGCTCTGGTCCTGGGAATGAGGTGGGGTTCGGTCAGGGCAGCTCAGTGGTAACCCAGGACCCAGGGGTGTGGGAGTCTCAGATGCGCTCTGTGGCCGGGAGCGAGGGCTGTCTGGGGAGAGACACGGTTATTTTTGCTTTATGAGGTTAGGACTTCCTGATGGGACGTGTTTGGAAATGCAGGAAGTGCGTGGGCTGGGCTCGGGGAACGTGCCTCTGAAAGCTCCCTTCCCCGGGCACGAGGGCACTTTCCAGCTGGGAGAGGAGGAGCTGGGGCTGGGGCCGGGGCCTGGGGGTGTTGCCGCTTTGTGGCAAGCTCGATGGTCCTCCCCAACGTCGCCTTTCTCAGAAGGAAAAGTTGTGCACAGTTCCCCAAAATGCAGATTTTTCAGGAAATGGTCTGAGGTGCTAAGATCCATGGAAATCACAGGCATGAGCAAGGAGATAGAAAACAAAATGAGAGAGTGCCATGGAGGGGCAGGGGCGGGGGGGGGGGGGCTCCTGAGGTTGCCAGAGGGGCCGCCATCTCAGCCCTGTGACAGGTGGGGCTGGGAACCTGGACCTGAGCTGGCCCTGCCCACCTGCTACTGCGGCTCAGAGCCGCATAGGCCCTTCCTCAGAAGGTTCTGGACACAGTGTGTGCTGTGCTGCCTTTTCTCCCGAAATGCAGGTGCGGGCCCAGGACGAGGCCCATCTGGGCTGGGTTCTGGATCCAGGGAGACGGTGCACAGGACGAGTGAGATGGATGGTCTGCAGTACGTGGCCCAAGCGTGGGCCGTG